CCCAGCACCCAAGCAGGCTCCTGCTGCCAAAAGCCACTCCATTCTTCAGGACAGAAACACCCTCGCCTGCCTCCTCCCAGCCCACTCCTCACTCCTCCGAGCATGAGACACTTGTTTCTCTAATGCCCCAGTAGCTACAGCTACAGTTTGTGGTGTTTTATCTGGGATTTCATGAGGATGTACGAGAGGAAAGCATTTGTCACCAAACCAGTCCCGGCAGCTGACATGCGGCTAAAGCAGAGGCCATGTACTTGAGAAAAGCTGCGTTCAGCAATGGCAGTTTCAGAGATACTATCACTACCAGTGTGCATCCCTCTCCTGGAGTTGGCAGGCTTTCTATAAATGGAGTCCCACCACATCAAATGCACAGGGTCAGGAAATTGGATCACTCTCCCCCAGCTGTAAATATGAATAGCAGGCTACAGGTCTGACTTAGTGAAAGATCAGTAACATCACAACCAGAAGAAAGCAAAGATAAAAGGCAAACAGTTCCAGCTAGAGACCTCTTTTCTGCTGACAGAGGTCAGCATCTGCTGACTGAAGGGCAGAAGAATACAAGTCCAGCCTGGCCTGCAGGACAGGGAGCTGAAGGAACCAGCAGAAAGCCCTCATTCTCTAAGTAAATGAGCAAACGTCCAGCATGGGCTAAACAAACCATCAGTGTCTGAAAGTGCTTTCCTAAGGTCAGGCAAAAGAACAGATTTAATAACTGTTCTGACTCCTCCCCATTGCACAGCAGAGTGCACTGTGATTTTGTTACACAGCTTATGAAGTCATCACCGCAGATACATTTGAAAGGCAGTGACAGAGGCGTCTCACAAGGCTGACATATAAGAAAAAAAAAAAAGGCATCAGGCCTCTAAGTTTGCTAGTCCCATACTTACAGGTCCAGTAACACTGAAGGAAGCACCTCTGTGGAGGAAGCTGCACTTTAAAGCAAGACTAGAGGATAGTCACACACTGTTCCCCCTCCTCCTCTTAGCATCTTTAAGGGATTGCCTGAATACCAGCTCTCCAGTAATTTGCTCAACCTTACTGTATCAGAGCATTCTTCTCAAGTCATCAAAAAATTAGTAGTAAAAATAGCAAGGCAATCATTAGAAAAGCCTTCCCAGAAATCCAGGTGCAAATGCCTCACCCTCCCCCAAACCCAAAACTGAAATCACATAGAAATGATACTGACCACGAACACCATAAAATAACCACAGGCCTTCTTTAGCAGCAAAGCACACAGTGCTTAGAAAGAGCAGAACAAATATCCCACCTCTTGCAATTTCACCTAAGGTGAGACAGCTGTGACTAATGGAGCCAAACACACTGACAGGTGGTATTATGAGAGCACTGATGGAACTGTGAAATCAGCTGTGGTCTTAATTCACTGCTTTCAGCATCTTAATCAAGACCAGTTTATGAAGCAAAACAGGAGGCAGCCTTACTTTTAACCCAACGTATTTGTAAGTGTTAGAGGCCACATATAAAGCTGTTTGGTTAAAACCTTTGGACCATCTGTAAAAGTAGGGCTTGTAACCATGATGGTGTCGACAAGAAGAAACAAACAAACAAGCCTCTGCTCAAAAAACAAGGCATATATATAGAACAATTCTGCAGAAATGCCAGAGCACAGCCCCCACTTTTCTCCAAAGCAGGCTGCTTTGACTTGTTACAGTGCTCAATAGTAGCCTGAGCCAGAGAGTGGGCAAGCTGAGTTTGTGCAGCCTCTGCAGCCTGAACCAGGATGGGAGTGGAACGTGCTTACAGCAGGCTTTCACGAGGAGTCCCGCTCCCGCTGGAAGGAAACAGACATCTCAAAAATGTCTCCCTCATTTTCTTCTGTTAAAAGCACATAGTTAACTAAGATATAAGTGGGAAGTTCTTAATTCCATTTTCCAGTGCACAGAGTGGGAAACATAAGTTTATGTAAATAAATGTACGCTCTGCATTCAGACTTTCCCAAATTTAAAACAGAAACATTGAAAAGCAGAATTAGAGCAAAAACAAGAAAAAGAAAACACCAGTCATTTTACATGCAAAATGTAATTAGTTAATTCAACTCACTTCAGCCAAAATATAAGTAAGATTCAGGAAAGGATTAGACACTTATATGGATAATGAGAATATCCAGATCAACAAAAGAGAACAAAGTTTGCCTAATACAATCTCTTTTCTTAGAGCATAAACCGACCTCTGGCAGATGGATCTTGGAAAAGGCTCCTCAGGCCAGGCTGTCCCATAATTTCCTCAATTTTACTGCACCTTCCTTTGAAGCTCTGTTGCATACAGGAAACTAGATTAAATATAGGATCAGTCTGGACTAGCAGTTCTCTGTTTGGGGTTGTGTATATAGGGAGCTTTGTTAAATTCATGGACAATGCACATTTCTCTCATCTTTAATAATGTGGTGGTTAAGAATATTGCTAGAAAGCTAACATTGTATCTCAGCATTATAGCCACTGGAAAAGGTGACTTGCAAGACATTTAGTAGTACAGAAAGTGGATGCAAGACACACGGGGGGGACAGTGCAAGCACTGAGAATAATCACTAGATGAGTTTGGTAAAACATAAATGCAAAAGCAACCAAAAGGAAATAAAATCAGTTTTGTACAGTTCGCTGAGAAACATCAATGAATCGCCAAGGCTGCGAGCCAGCTGTTCAGACCAGGACTTGATTCACTAGCATTTCAAAGTCAGAGACTCTTTGACACAGCACAGGTCTAGGCAGGCTGCACAAACCGTCATTTAAGCTCTCATCAGTGGTGAAAGCAACCAACCTTCTTGCTAGGTAGCCCTGAATGCAGAAGTCATGGCACGGCAGCCTTCCTGTCCTCCTCTGGTAGCTCAACTAAGCATCAGGTTTTAAGTTTGCTACATTCTTCTAGAGCTGAAGCTTTTAATAAGCAATAGAAATTCACGGGTTTAGATTCATGGTTTTATGTCCACTGATCTCAGGGCTGATCCCTGGAAGACCATGCACACACTGAGACATGCACTTTACTAGAAACCTAGGTCCTAAACTTGTAATTGATGACAGACTATGTAGTTTCTCTGGCAGCTTGTTCAGTCATCAGCTGGCATATCCTTGTCTTCATCATCAAGCATATCTTTTAGCTGTTGACGAGCAAACTCCTCAAATACCAGCTCTGCTTCACTGAAATGGAAGAAACACAGTTCTTTCAAAATGATGTTAGCAGTTTTTTTATACCAGCAGACTAAAGAAAACATATAGGAGGAAGAAGAGAAGCCCAGAGCAGATTCTGGTAATGTTTCCTTTGTCTTCAAAGGGATTTGGATCACATTCCCATCTTCACTGGTGGTATTCTAGCTAGTATGAAAAAGCAGTTGATTGAGCAAGTCAGGACACAAACTAAGGAGGTTTTAATCTGTACTGAATCATGTCCATTCCAGCTAAATATTTATCAGCTAGCTAAATAGCATGCAGCCTGAAAGGGTCTTTGTCTAGAAATAAAACATGAAACCTTTCATCCTTATTCCTTCTGTACTAAAATAGGGGCACATAGTCAAACCTATTGAACTTCTGAAACTTAGAGCTACAGAGCAGCAGCTGGCCACAAACACATCCCTCCCCCTCTGACTGTGAGGCAAAACATGTTCTTTTAAACTAGTTTCACATGGTCAGTAACTGATCTTCAACTGATAGCAGCAATTTTTCAAGCCACAGTGACTTACTTTGGATTTAAGCTCATACTCTGTGAACCTTGTGGATTTTCAGACAATTTTGAGGAGTTTTCAAGAGTCAATGCACAACTGCAGCTAGAATTATTAATGAAATATTATTAGTGAATAGTAAAATATTATGAAAAGGAACTTACCCATCCTTCCCTGTAGTCATCAGCATGCAGTAAAAGAGGAAAAAAGGCACACTAATAGTTAGAACAGTGAATGCTAGGACCAGTAAAAATCAATAAACTGACAAGACCAAACAGTACCAAGCAGTAGGATTTGCAGCAATACAAGGAGAATTCCAGAAATTCTCAAAACGTGTGTATGTGCACCTGATGAAGCAAAACTTGATATCCCGAATGGAAAAGCACTCTAGCAACATTGCCCAAGACATCAGAAGGGCTGAGAAACAAAGACAGATTTTCCCATTTACGCTTGCTTGTGGTCACAGCTGTGAGAGACATCTGTGCACACACTTCTACTCAGAGATGACAGTGCTTGTGTGATATGATGTTAGTCTTAATTGGTCTGTCACTGTAATTTAAGTAGTCAGCTAACGAGAAGATGATGTTCTTGTTCAATAAACATGAAGGTATTAAAATCAAACGAGGTCAGAATACAGAAGGGGCTAGGTGGTCTCTCATTAGGTAGTTTATGCACTTGAGGCAATACTCCTGATTTCATCCTTGCCTAAAGGTAATCCCGAGCCCTTTGGCACTTGTGTTCTTTAATGGGATACTTGCTAACCACACCGTAACAAATCCTGCTTGCTCACAGGATTCCTTGGAAGCTGTTTCAGCACAACCTAAAATAAGCAGAACAGACTGTATTGCAGTGATGAAATGAGGGGCAGGGATTTTTTCGTTCTCACAGTTACTTTAGGTTTAGCAAGTAACAGTCACTTCACTAGCTTACTTCTCATGAGTTTAAGTCAGTGAGCAAAGTACACCTAGGCCATCATTCTACAGAAGTCATCATGGATCTGGGATGCTTCAGTGACTGGATAACTTGCTACCTGGAGAATTCCCACCCACAATACACACTGAAATCAAGGGCAACAAGTAGCAACTAGCACTGCTGGAAAAGTCAGCATTAAAATGTGTGCCAAATGGGGCCACTCCAGCCA